GTAAAGTCCATTTTAACAGTTTAACTTAACAACAAAAAGAAAACAAGAGGAGCAGAGGTGGGGCCAAGGGAAATCTTTAGCAAACTGGTGTTGTAGGGTCTCTTTGTAAAAATGCAAAATATCTAGATTAATGTTACTGTTGAAGTTTAGCTGAGGAGATGCTGCCTGCTTGTAACTGCTGCCATGTCTGGACAGCCTCACTGAAACCCTGAACTTGCTTCCCTTTCCATGTCGCAGGTTGTAATAACCTTGATGAAGCAGGTTCAGAAGGAGAGATACCCATTACATATTCTGACTGTGCTGCAGCTTGGAACTGAAACCAAAGTCAGAAATCATGAATTGACTGCAGCAGCATATCTGAAAAAAATTGTCATGAGATGCACTGAAATAAAGGGTAAGTCTGCCAGAAAACTGGTGCACAGTCAGTAGAGTGTGTGCAAATCAATAATTAGAGGGGGGAAAAAAGGCAGATTCACTTACTGGGGTGTTCAGTGTCATTTAGATGGAATTAATTTGCTTTTCCTGACACCAAGTTTTACTGCTGTTGTCAGTTAATGTGTTTGAGGGAGTTGCCCACTTTGAGTAGCAGTGGTCATTCCTGACAAGTGTTGTGACTGTTCAGTGGGGTTTGAGCTGCTGAATCTGTGCTTTGTGACCAGTTCTGGCAGCACTGGAAATGCAGAGTGACCTTGATTGGTCAGGTAACAATTAAAACTGATAGTGAAGTAATAACTGAAATAGCTGTGTGTTCGAAGTAGAAAAAAGTAAGGTTTTGAATGTAAAAACCTGAAGATAGGAGTGCAAAACTAGTTACAGGAATGCAAAGAACTTTCCAGTTTTGAATCTTTTTTCAGGACCAAGATAAGTTAATTATGACTAGTTTAATTTAAAATAAAGAGAATATAGCATTTCACAAGGTAATGCTAATGTGCAGCTTCCCAGTGAAAACAGCTGTTTACCTTCACTCTTTCAGCAAGAATGGTATATAATTAGTATATAATTGAGAATTAGCATGGAGATATTCCATAGGTGGAGTAAAGCTTGTGAGTGGAGATATTTTACATTTTTATTTCTTTATTTGCAGACTCAAAAGGAGATCCTCTTTGCATTCTTAATTCTTCAAGTGAGACAGATGAACATCTTCTGAAAATGGAATACATTAAGGTTTCAATACATTTTCAGTAAAATTACACAGGGACTAAAATAAGGCTTCCATGCTTACCTTGTAGCATTGGTATCTAAAACTGAACCAGACTTTCTCCAAATACCTGTTTTCCAACTTAGCATTTAATTTCATTCTTTTATTTCATTTATTATTAATTATTGGTTAACTCAATAGAGACTGACTGTGTCCTTTTTCTTTTCTTTCCCTTTAGGCTGATCCTGATGGGCCAGACTTTGTTACAACTTACAAAAGCACCAAGCAAAACATCAATGTAAGTGCTGGATGGGTTTAATTTTTTTTTTTTTAAGCTTCTCAAATGGTAACAACTGAAAACCAAAGCCCTGAGTCTCATCATTAAAACCTACTGATTTATATTTAACTACTTCAAAGGGAAATCCAGGTGGAAAACCCCCCTTTTTTTTACAGAAGTATTTATTGTATTAATTTTTTTAAACAAGAAGCTGTAAAACCAGCATTTACCAAGGGCTGCTTTGGGCTGGGGAGAGTTGGCTACCTGATACCAGGTTTTACTAAATAATACTGGTAAGAGTAGTTGCTGCTCATGTACTTTCTGTTCTGATTGCAAATTTTGAATCTTGAGGGGGGTGGGTTTTGGGGTTTTCTTTTTTCTTTTTTCTTTTTTCTTTTTATTTTTTTAGGGAGGTTTTTCTGTGTGTGTTTTGGGTTTTGTTTTATTTTGGGGTTTTTTGTTTGGTTTTGCTGTTGTTGTATCATATCTACTAAAATATCTTCACACATGGTTCTGAAGTTGTCAGCCAAAGTGCTCAGCAGCCCACACTGAACTGCAGCAGAACTGAGAACACTGGAAAAACAGAACCACCTGAAGCATCAGTTTTTAGATTGGCTCAGTTCCCTGTAGCTGTTTTTAAGCTTCTCTTCCATAGCTCCCTCAGCTGTTCTGGAGCTTTTTTGGTGGTAAATTGAAGGAAATGGAAGGGTCAGAAACTTGTCAAATTGAGCAAGACACTTTTTTCTCGATTCTGTGGCAGTAACTGAGTTGTTATGCAATAAACTGCTACTAAAAAGAATATTACTTTGTCTCCTTGCCCTCATTTTAGGTCATCTTTTCATCTTTGGATATTGTACTTCACACAGAGGCTTTACTTTCCATCTTGAGTTTTCTCACCTTCAGTGTTCCATCAGGTGGTCTTCCCAGTGCTGAGAAATCATCAGACCACAAGCCTCAAACAAAAGAAGAGGAAAAAGGAAGTGCTCTGAGACCAGGTAATGTGGTATGAGAAAGGTTGTACTTGTGTTGTTTGGCAGCATCTCACCTTCACTCTCAAAGGATACATTTCAGGTGGCAGCATTGCAGTCTGTGTGGTGGAAGAAAATAGCAGGAACAACCATAAGTGGGGAGAAAATAATCTTATTTAAAAAAAAAAGCCAGATATTTTTGCTGTTGCTTAATTTTACAAATTCTCCTTACTCACTGTAGCTTTTCCCTAGGTGGTGATCTGATTTTTATTATTAAATTTGAATCAAGGACAGTTGCAATGTGCAGCCTTGCCAAAGATTCAGTGTCTTTCCAATCTGAAGGCTCCAAAGGGTGCTTTCATTGCTGAAAATAAACTTTCTTCTGGGGAAGCAAAGAGAAGTTCTGAACTGAAGGGTGGTGTGTTTGTTTTGATCCCTGGTGTTTGTAACCTTGAAATAGTAGGAGTGTTTGCATGGAAGCTCCTTAATGTTTTGTCAGGTCCTGTGTGCTTGATTCTTGTGTTTGTAGTGTTGTTTGTGAAATTCAAGGTTCTCTAATCCTAAAACTGTTGGGATTGAGTTCCAGTGGTTGGCTGTTACAATCTGTGTTTCTGCAGAAACCTTTTCCAGCTGCTATGCCTAAGCTGGCCTTGCTCCTTGATACAGAAAGGCACATTCCTCCTGTGGGATGGGGTTTCAAATACTGCAGTGTACACTATTCAGCATCCTACTGTGTCAAAACTAGGTATTAGTGAGGAGAAAAGATGGCATCTTGATGGCTTTTTGCCTGTGTTGGTGGCTGTTCGTGTGCCAGAAGAAAACTGTGTTAATAAAAGACTTAGTTCATATCCTAACCAACGATTATCTTAACTTTTTGGGAACAACTGCAGGTTGCTTTTTGAATAGTTCACGTGTGTACAAACAAATAATATTTGTTTTAAACAGTGGACTTACAATGAGGTTCTTGTGTGTCTCCTGTGTTTCCTATGCAGTGGGTGGTGGTGCAGCCCACGATGATATCTGTGAATTAAAACTCACTGCAAAGCTCAATGCATTTGGTATCACAGTGTGTGATCAGACCTGTAGGATTGCAGACATCAGAATACAAGGTAAGGGGGTTTGATTTAAATAGTAGCTGAAGTTTATTTAAATAATACATGAAATATGTGGTTTCCCTCCATTCACTTCTGAAAGGCCTGTGTGCACTGCATATGTCTTTGTAATGTGTGTTAGGATATATTTTGATTTGTATGAAATGACCTGCAAGGAAAGGCAATGTTTGACTCAGAAAAAGAAGGTGATTTTTTTGAATAGTGGAGTAAAATTAAAAGAAATGGAGGCACTATGTAATAAATAACACAAACTTGCATTTTTTAATAGCAAAATCCTCAATAGTGTTGGGAATTTTTACTTCAGTCTTAGAGTCAATTTGTGTTGGCAGATTTGTCATATGTACTAATGTCCTGACTGCTGTCTCAGGCTTAGCATTGGTTACCCAGTAGAAAGCTGGATTCTGAGCTATTGTTATTCTTTATATTCAGTAATAATTAATGGGATTTTTTTTTAGCAGAAGTGTTTATGTAGAAATTTGTTGAAGTGCATTTATTGTTTCTTTCTTTTGTCTCAAATTAGGAATGGATGCATCTGTAGTTATGAAGCCTAAAAAGATTAAAGTGTTCTCCAGGCTTGAGGACATTGTAATTACAAATGTTGATCCAAAAACAGTCCATAAAAAGGTGATGTATTGTGCAAATTGTAAACAAACAAAAAGACCCAGTTCTTTCAGTGATTTAATGACAGCACTGTAGTTTATTTGCTGTGTTATGGAATCCTAAGTATGATGTAATATACCAAATATGAAGCAAAATTTTATTACTTAATTTCCTTTATCTCAGGGAAGCAAAATATTCTTCCATTTAATATTTAGCTCTTTTTAATCACGTTTGCACTGATATATTTAATTCTGAGTTAAATATAAAATGGGCTATGGATAAGCAAGTGAGAAGAGACATTCAGTAAAATGGGTGATTCTGTTTCCTTTTTGCCTGGCACTGTCTGTGTCCAAGTACTGCTGAGAAGTTGCAGTTGCTCTCCTTTTGGGGAAATATTTCTTGTTTCAGATGACTGCCTGGAAATCTTAACTGTGTGGACTTGATCTTGCAGGCTGTGTCCATCATGGGAGATGAAGTGTTCAGGTTTCACGTGTCCCTTTACCCAGATGCCACTGCAGGGGAAGCCTACACTGACATGTCAAGGGTGGATGGCAAAATGTCTCTGAAAGTGGGCTGCATCCAGATAATTTACCTCCACAAGTTCTTCATGTCTCTCTTGGTAAGACATTAGTTCAAGTTCTCTTCTTGACTTTAGAAGTTTTTAATGAAATGAACTGTAACCAACTCTTTTTGACCTCTCCCTTGTGGTGAGCTGGTGTACAGGCACCTAGAAGTATTTTGCTGAAGAAGTGTTTTTTAGAAGAGTGACAAATAAGGAGAAGGATGACAAAACAAATAATGAATGGAGTTGAGAGCTTTAATAGTATCTTAAAAAATAATCAAGCAATGTCTTAGCTTGTGCAGGATTTGAACCTTTTTGTCTTTTGAAACCTGCGTGGTTAAATGAGGAGTTTCATATTTATACCACAGCTGGACTATTTTTCTTAATTTTACATTTTGCCTTTTTTTGAGAGGCTTGTTTTCATGGAACTCTTACTTTTTTCCACTTCTTCTCCACAGAACTTCCTGAACAACTTCCAGACAGCCCAGGAAGCCCTGACTGCAGTCACTGTCCAGGCAGCAGAAATGGCAGCTTCCAGCATGAAGGACTTTGCCCGGAAGAGCTTCCGCCTCTCCATGGATGTCAACCTGAAAGCTCCAGTTATAGTTATTCCTGAATCCCCAGCCTCATATAACGCTTTGGTGGCTGATCTTGGCTTAATCAGAGTTCAGAATGAATTCCAGCTGGTGTCTTCAGATGAGTCTCCTCTTCCTCCAGTCATTGACAGCATGGATGTGCAGCTGACCCATTTGAAATTATCGAGGTATACGTGGAGTTTTCCTCTGAGTTGAAAAGTGTTCGTAAAGAAAACGTGTTTGTGTTCCATCTGCAGCATTTTTCTATTACTTATAGATGATAGGCAATGAAAACATACTAACACCAACCAAAAACCTCCCCAAGCCAAGTTTAGGAGTGTTTTTAGAGGAACACAATCTCTGAAATTCTTGGAGAGAAAGGAATGATAGGACAGTAACTGAGTACATCCCTGGGTGTAAGCACATGTGAGCACACATACTTATTTTTAAATTAATAATTATACTCATATTCTGCTAGATTGCTATGATACTATTTGGGATTCTGCAACTGCTGAATATTTTTCCTCTGCTGATTTCCCTGTCTTTTGTTAGGTGCATCATATCCACAGATTCTCAACCAGACTCTGAAATTTTGTGTCCTGTGAGTTTGACTTTACTGGTCCAGAGAAATTTAGCAGCAGCATGGTATCATAAATGCCCAACAATTGGTATCAAAGGAGACCTGAAGCCAATGCAGGTAATACCATGTCACATCAGAGCCACATCAGAAGTTACATCTTCTCAGAATAGTACCCAGCTTAGTTAAGGAGCTTGTAAACTCATTTCAGTTTGTGTCCTCTAGGAATGTTAAAAGACTTCCAGCTTTATTGTCCAGTTTATAGATCTGTTGGAGCTTTGGTATTGTATAATGAATAGTATTGGTGTAGCTGTGTGCAAGTGGAATAAAACCTGTTGGAGCTATCCTTTGACTCAGTAGTCAGTAAAATCATTGAGCTTGCCTGTTGAGTTAGCTTTTAAAAACTAGATTTAATACTTCAGGTTTCACCTGCAACATTCAGGTTATTTGAGTGTTTCTTAGATTTATAGAAATGGAAGGGGTATCTAATTCACAACAATTTAAAAGTATGGTTGAAATCTTTGCAGAGGGAGGGCTTTGCTTTTTCTTTTCCTACATTACCCATATGGATTTAAATGGGTAAAAGCAAACTGATTGACACAAAATGACAGCATAATGACACAGGTCCCTGAGCCCTGTGTCATTCCTGTGTCTGTGCTATGGCCAAATATAGCACTGGTGAAGCACAGAGATTTAAGAGATTTAAAGGAGTACAAACAAAAATAACCAAATGTGGAAAAAATACTTCTGACACTGTATTATGACCTAAGTGGCTGCATTTTGTCACTTATTAGTACTTGGTTTTTGCACAATTCTGTAATTTTATTATTGGATTCACATTCATTAACTCCTTGAAGGCCTTCTGAAGGACAGTTGCTTTAGTGTAGACAATGCAAGCCTTGGCTTTAATGTTATCTGGTGCTGTTTTGGGATTACTGAATTGTTAGAAGTGCATATGTTCATCAATGACTCACATTTTTAGCAGGCAAAGATCCTTTACAAGACTGGAAAGGGGTTATCATATGGAGTGTTGTTTCTTGTAACTCCTGTTCAGAACAAGTAACATACTATAGGAAAAATGGGCCAATTATTTCTGTCACCCAAACTGAAGTTTTTGGTTTATCACTTTACAGATTGCACTCAGTGAAGATGATCTGACTGTTATCATGAAAATTTTGCTTGAAAACCTTGGGGGAGCTTCTTCCCAACCAACTGCTGTGCAAGAGAATGTTGAGTTCACACAGATACCTAAAAAAGGGAAAGTTCCACATGAATCTGGTATGTTCAGTTCAAAGGCTGAGGATGTTCAGGCAGAGGACTACTTGTAAATCCAAACATCACATTTATCTGAAGCACTTAAATGTGTGCATATGAGTTCTTTTCACTTGCATTTGTGCTGTGTACATGAACACTTATAAATAGGGATGTGTGCACATACATGTAGTGTGAGCTCTTGATAGTCAGAAGTTTTTAGCATGTTTTTGTGATTCTTCTTCTGTAGGATGGTGTTCTTCAGTCCAAATCAGTGGCTCTTCTCAGGTGCAGGTGGTTAAAAAAGAAAAATGCCAAATCATCTACTCCACAATGTTAATGCACTGTTATAACAACTGAGCATAATAGGAGTGTTCAGACTCCTATTATTGTTCACATTAACACTTCAGTGTGTTAATGTAAACGGTGCATATCTCTGGATAAAATATTGCTAACACTTTGCCAAAACCTATTTTTACACCAAACTTAACATTCTTATGTTAAGAACTTAACAAACTTAACAGAAATTGCTGTCTAACTAATAGTTGAGTTGCTATACTATGGAAAGAAACAGGAAGGAAGAGTAGTGCAAACCTCTTGAGCAGACATGGTACTTTGTGTAGTTCTTCATTAAAGTGAATGCAGAACTGCAGAAAACTAATGGCAGCTTTTTAAAGGTTCTTAAACCACTCTGTTCTAGTCCTACTCTGTCTTACCTAGCACAAAGTGATGTTGAGGAATTAAAAGTGTAAATTGTTTTGAGTAGTCTTCGGATTTAGAGTGTTTCCTCTTCTTGTGACTTTGTGATCTTACTTAAAAACACCAAACACCAAAACAACCAACAAAAGAACCCCCAAACCAACAGCAAAAATACCCCAAACCCAGTGTTCTAAAGAAATGTAAAAATGTCTTCTTTTCACTACCAGGTCCTCTTCTTGCTTCTGAACAAAAGAGTGTTTCTACAGCTCAGTCTTCTGTGGAATGTTATACAGCACTTAAATTTGACTTCAATTTTGAGTCACTTTCCGTAATTCTCTACAACAGTGATAAGAATCAGGTTTGTGAGCAAGCCTTTACCATACAGGTGGGGTGGGCCTCTCACATGGACAGAACTCAGGACAGCAAACCAAAGTTGCATCAGCTGTGTTGGCTTTGTAATGCTTTCCTTGTGGAGCTTTGAGGTTTCTTGGGCAGAGAATGTCCTTAAGTTGAAAATGTATGTGCATTTCCAGAAATCACACTGAAAAGTATTACTAAACCAACCAACCAAACCCACCCAGCATTTGATTTGGTCATTCAAGCTTTGATTCCAGTTATCCAAAGTAAACATGACAGTCTGAAGAGCAGGAGTTGCTAGCTCAGATGGTGCTAGTGCTGTGCATGGTGCCTGTATAGTTAGGAAGCAGATCCAAGGTGTATATGCCCCATACTTTCCTCTTGCATATCCCCAGGTGTGAGCAATCCTGGACATCTTTTCTGTGCTGAAAACAGAAGAGAAAGATGTGAAATGTGGCCTTGTTTTTATGACTTAATACATTCTGTGAAGGTGCTTGCTTTGTATGTCTTTGTATATAGTGAATGTTAGTTGTGTATAATTTTAAAGCAGCTCTTGTGCAATGAGCATCCCAGGGAAGAAAGACACTGGAATGGGATTTTATTCTAATTTTGCCTTCATATGGTTTCCACTTATTGCTGAGGTATTGTAAATGAGTTAGTGTGATGAGAGTGGAGGGGTCCTCTGGAGGGAATCTAGAGTTCAGGTGGGTTATCCTGCAGTCATACATTCTCAACAACTGCCAGCACTGTGGTGAAGAAACAACTTCACAGCAGCCCAGTGTGCTTTTTCTGTTTCCTCAGTGAGTTTCTGGGACTGGTTTGTCTGGTTGGAGGGCTGATGACAGCAGCAGGCTGATCAGATCCTTCATTCAGGGCTCCAGATGCAGCAAGGGAAAGGTGCTCGTTGCTCTGCTCTGTGCTAACTGCCCTCCCCTTCCCCCGGGCAGAGCTCTCTGCTCCCCGTGCACAGCGACAGGCTGCGCCTCGGGGAGCTGCGCCTGCGCCTCATGGCATCCTCTGGGGACATGTTCTCAGATGGCTCCATGGACATTCAAGTTAAACTCCAGGCCTGTACCTTGGATGATCTCCGGGAAGGAATTCAGAACGTGACTGCCAGGTGAGTTTGAATGGAAAGGCTCCAGCTCCTGAGGAGGACTGTTCCCTCCTTCTGTACCTCCCTTCACGTGGGATTGACAAAACTCTGCAGTGCTGGCAGTTGGGGCCTGTCACGCTGTGGGCTTGAGCAATGAATGATGTAATTTTAGTCATGTTAAGCAAGTTTCTGCTTTTGTATGTTGATTTCCCATGTTATCCAAACAAAAAAAAATATTGGAGTCTTGCAGATTCCAGTAAATGGTGTAGAAGAGCTGAGTAGAGAGTACCCAGCCTCAGCCAGAGTTCTGTGCACTGAAACTCCTCTGTGATTCTTATGTGCCACTTCCAAAAGTGTAGTGCACTAATTTGAAATTGAAATTACTCCTCTGTTAGAAAAGTCTATACCCTCTTATTTCTGGAAGAAACACTGATTGCTTGTAGAGTAATCCTTATTTATAAACACTATGGGGAGAAAAAATGGCACTGCTTATGTATCCTTGTTTTTCTAGATCCATGTTTGAAATGTTTCTTATTAAACTTGTTTTCCAGAATGATAGACAAGAAAGATGACACACATGACAGTTCTATGATAGATATAAGGTATAAGCAGGATAAAAATGGAACTGGAGTTGTTGCAGTCCTTGACAAGCTGTACATATGTGCCAGTATGGAGTTTTTGTTGACAGTAGCAGATTTTTTCATTAACTCGATGCCAGCATCCTCAACTGAAAGATCTGCACAGTTCCAATTAAAGCAAGTTGCTTCTGGGAAATCCAAGCCAGAAACAGGTCTGTAAAACCAATTTCCACCTCCACCCCCATTCCCCTCCTTTGCAAGACTTCACACTGAAAACAATTCCTCCAAAAGTTTTCAAGATGCTGTCTTGGTATTAGACTTGAGAAATGAAATTATTCTTCAAAATGTGGGAATTGGCCACTGACAGTGTATATTGATTTCCTCTTTCTGGTTGAAGACTGGAGGTAAAGCATGATGAAACAAGGGCAAGAAAGGCCATTTCTAAGAGTATTTTGTTGGTTTGAAGTGATTGCTGGGCTTGTCTGAGCTGTGGTGAGACCTCACCTGTGGGGTGTGTTGTCTGGCTGATTCCCAACAGCCCTCCCTTTCTTTTGGGGACCTTGGCAGAGCACCAGGAGTGACCCTGAGGTTTGATGAACTGCCCTGGTGAGAGGAGAGCAAGCAGTTCACTTGCTCTCCTCTTCCCCTGTTGGAGATGTGCCCAAGTCCTGTGGTGGAGGAGGGATGATACTCCAGGAAAATGGCACTTGTAAGGAATGTTCAGGACTATCCAAATGTGTTGGTGGCTGCAACCCACCATGTCCAGCTTCCTTTGCTTTTCCTGTAGTGCCCTGAGCCTCAAACTGGCTCCTGTTCCATGGCAGAACTCTGATATTCTGATATTTCCAGCAAATGTTAGGCAGGAGTAGCCCCTGTGATTAGTTTGGTGTGCAGGAGGCTCCCACCTCTCACTGAGAACCAAAGGGATTGATCCATCACTAGGGTAAAGTGTCCTGCTTTTAGCTGGGAGAATATAATATGATTCTCTCCTTCTGTTTGGAGACCAAACATATTCAGACAAGAAATTCTGTATTGATAATTTGGTTTTGATTTGTAAGTGTTCACTCAAAGAAGTGAGTCACTTTAAGTGTTGAGCCAGAAAATAACTATTTTCAGCTTGCCTTTGTAGAGCCAGGGCTTAGACTGACTACAGTGTGCAGAGTTAATCCTGTCCTTCTACAACACTGAGCAATTTGTTCAGAGCTAAAGTTCTGACCAGTTTGCTGCTCATTTCTGAACACTGTGATGTTGAGTTTCAGCAGTGTATTCCTGTAAAAACGGAAACATTATTTATTAAATTTGTACCTCTATAATTGGGTAGCAATTTCCAGGCATGGTTTCAGTATTATGTACATGGTAATGCTTTCAAACCTTTTATATTCAAGGGTGTTTTTTTAAAATTTATTTTCACAGAAATACCTGTACGGCCAAATATGACAGTAAAAGCTGTGATTCTGGACCCAGAAGTTGTGTTTGTTGCTAATTTGACCAATGCTGATGCTCCTGCCTTAAAAGTTTCCTTCCAATGTGACTTTTCTCTGACATCTGGAAGGGATGCACAGAGGATGACTGCTCAAGTGAATGGCTTCAAAGTGTTGGCCTGTGCCTTTCTCAAAGAAAAACAAGACAAGAATGTTACTACTGTAAGAAAACCACTGTTTTTTTGACTGTACTATCAGTCTGTGTGTTGGGTTTTGTCTGTTTTTTAAGCATTAGGTCAAAAGCTTTTATTTCAGTGACTTTTAATCTTCAGTACAAAATTGCTGTTGTGCAAATTGGGCTGCTGGAATGTGTGGCAGTGCATGAAAAAATGCTGTTGCTCTGAAACGTGTCATTACTTTATGGGGTCAGCATGCCCTGGGCCTATGGAATGAAAAAAGTACAAGACCTTTTGAAATGTTTGGGTTCCAGGAGTCACCTTAATAATCAAGTGATGTTTTTTCACTCAGGTGTTACGACCATGTTCCTTGGTCATGGAAAATATGGTGCATGTCTCAGGATTACAGACTGTGGCAGTAACAATAGAAGAACTTACTATTAAGGTAAGATTATTAAAACTGTCTTTGGAAGAACAGCTGCTTCTCAAACTGTAGCTTGGTTTTTGGTGGTTCAAATTTGCATTTTCCCCATTACTTTAATTCTAGAAATAAACATTTTTAGAGCTGCTCCGTGTTGGAAAAAGTCATTATGTGTTCCTTGTGCTGACAGTCCCTTCACCAAAAAGGACTCATTTAAATACTTCAGATTCTGAGATTCCTCCTACCACTTTCTTCCAAAGTTATGAAATAACCTTTCCCCCTGCTGCCACCACCACTATTTTTGTCTTCAGTTAGTCTTACAAGAATGCACACACCCCCAGGTACATGGATGATATAAGGCTGTTAACATGATTTCCAGAATGGTACACAATGTGAAATACCTTGTTCTTAACAGGTAAGCTAATAATTGTGTCTCTGGTGAAGGTATTTCTGGATGTGAGTTGCTGATTCTCCTGTAAAAAGTTCCCAAATAGGCATTTGTGATATGAAGAGCCTTTAACTGTAAGTCCCTTGTTCCTGAGGCAGAAATCCTTTGACAGTTGTACTGTGCTGCCAGTTGGAGTGGTGGGGTACAGAACTCTGCCAACAGGCTTTTGTGAACACCTCAGGGATCTTAAAAACAAAGGAATGCTTTTCAGTGTGGCGGGGAAAAGGTGGATATTGGCTGCTGGTATGGGAGTACCACATATTGGCAAAAGGGAAATTCCAATCTGAGAATTTTGTTCTTGGTCCTGTGGGATTGTGAGGGAGGAATTGGGACATTTTGCAGGAGAGGAAAACAAGAGGAGGTCCATGAATGGATTCTGTTCCTTGAAATTTAAGTTGCATCTCTTAAGAGGGCCTGTAATATTTGCTATTTCCATTTATAATAGATTTTGTATTTTAATAAAAGATTTTTTTTTTCTTTGTTCAAGATCTCGCCCATAATTTTGAATACTGTCATTACCATTATGGCTGCCATAAAACCCAAGGCAACAGAGGAGGATTCTAGAGGAGCAGCAGAAGTTGCTGAGAATCTGTGGCAAGTGAAGCCCATAGACGAGTGCAATGCTTGGTTCCTCGGGGTTGATGTGGCCACAGAAGCAACAGAGACTTATAAGGACCGTGAGCAAATTCTGAAACAGGAGAAGTTTGACATTGTGGTGAAATCAGTTCAGATGACCCTGGAGTGTGGTCTGGGCCACCGGACTGTCCCTTTGTTGTTGGTGGAATCTGCATTTTCAGGTGTCCTTAAAAACTGGTCCTCGCTGATGGAGGTCTCTGCTGACACGTCACTGGAGGTGTGTGGGATCCAGTTGTTAGCAGTTTAAAACACTTCTGTATGTCTCCTGACATTCAAGTAACTTTTTAGTACACTTTGTCTGTGCTAAATTAATAATAGGTTTAAATTGTAATGCTCTTAGGAACTCTTTAGCAGTCAGGCAAGTGTGACCAAGCATTACGTGGTTTTTACAGGAAGTTTGCAATTAATAGTAGGTTTTAATGGCAGTGACTACGTGGAATAATCTGGCCCTCTCTGTTTCTCTACTATTTTTTCATGTTCAAGTTTTGCTATATGAACATTGAGCTTGGCTTACTTGAATATTCATATTACTGCCCACCTTTTTTTGTTTCTGTAGCGCTGTGTTCAGTGTTACAATAGAAATTACGCTCTGTTCTCAAAGGGAGATCCCATTCCAAGATGGTACAATCTCCATTTATGGAGGCAGCATGGTAAAATTCCATACAGCCACGTGTGCAGCTGTTCTGTGCAATAGGTCAGCTCCACCTGAATTATATTTGGTCAGTCTACCAAATATATATCCAAGAACAGAATCATAGAATCAGCTGGGTTGGAAGGGACTTCCGAGATCATCAAGTCCAACCCTTGATCCAACCCCGCTGTGGTTCCCAGCCCATGGCACTGATGCCACATCCAGTCTCTTCTTAAAATCCTCCAGGGATGGAGAATCCACTCCCTCCCTGGGCAGCCCATTCCAATGGCTCAGCACCCTCTCTGGAAAGAAATTCTTTCTAATATCTAACCTAAACTTCCCCTGGCACAGCTTAAGACCAAGCCCTCTTGTCTTGCTGATCCTTGCCTGGGAGGAGAGACCAACCCCCACCTGACTACAACCTCCTTTCGGGTTGTTGTAGAGAGTGAGTAGGTCTCCCCTGAGCCTCCTCTTCTCCAGGCTGAGCCCCCCCAGCTCCCTCAGCCTCTCCTCACAGCACTTGTGCTCCAGTCCCTTCCCCAGCCTCGTTGCTCTCCTCTGGCCCTGCTCCAGCCCCTCCATGTCCTTCCTGAGCTGAGGGCCCAGAACTGGACACAGCACTCCAGGGGTGGCCTCCCCAGCGCTGAGTCCAGGGGCAGAATCACTTCCCTGGCCCTGTTGGCCACCCTGTTCCTGAGCCAGGCCAGGATCCATTGGCCCTCTTGTCCCCCTGGGCACACTCTGGCTCCTGTTCAGCTCCCTGTCCATCCCCACTCCCAGCTCCCTTCCTGCCTGGCTGCTCTCCAGCCACTCTGTCCCAGCC